ACCACCCCCCCCCCCCCCCCCCCCCCATTTACAAATATGAACAGTCATCCATGTGTCCTTCTGATGTAGGTCAGTGGAATGCAAAGTTTGCATTTAAAAGTAAAAAACTCTGAAGAATTTTTTTTTAGCCAGTAAGTTTTTAAGAACATATGTTCAATGCCTGTTTTATAAAGTGCGTAGCTGACATTCAAAAACTATTTCCTCAAAAATGTCTTGTTTTCCGCCCGTGGGTATCAAGCACAGGCCTCATCAAAGGTCAGAAAATATTCTCAAAACAGTGTAGCTTCTTAGCAATTTAAATAAGAATTTGTATTCCTTCATGTTAAATATTAATACTAGTAATATCATAAACCCTCTTGCATCTCATGGGACAGAAAGATTACTGGGTCAAAAGGATGTGTTTTCTTCCTTCCAGGCAGTATACCTTTATGAAAGCTTCAGCTGAAGTGAGTCTTGCATATTTATTGACATTTCTTCAAGGAATGCTTTTTTTCCCCTGAGTCTGTCTACTTATTATGAAGGTTTTGGCACCCATAATTATTTAGTCAGTATAAAATGTTTAAGAATGTGATTATGAATATATTTTGTCAAAATAGAAATTATCATACTTCTAGTGGAAAAAATATTTCAGTTATCTAAGGTTTTGTGCAACTTTTGGGGAAAGACGTTTGTTGTCTCAGTATTTTTCCACTACCCTTTAATATAAAAGGGCAATAGGATATACAGCTTAATTTGATTTTCACCTTCAATATATGAAGATGTTTGGGGTCTTTGTTTTAGTACATGCAGCTTGGACCACATTTTTCCACAAAAAGAGTTAAGAAAGCAATCAAAAATTTTATTCTTGCTATAAAGAAGTATTAGTTTTAATTTGCTTTTTCTGCACATAGCACACTCTAGTAGGGGATTTTGTTGGTTAGTAAGCCCTGTGCTTTGATTTTGCAGTTAAATATTTTCATTGCAAGTTAAGGTGTATTGTAGCAATCTACAAATGCAACTACAGTTCCCAATCTATTTAAGTATATCTGCTGAATAACAATAGCCTATTTCCTGATTACAAATAATATGCTTATCTATGTTATGTTTAATTTATGTGTAATTTAACCTATTAGGTAAGATTTGTGTTTCTGCTGTAAAATTGTATTAGAAAAAGGCATGTGGGTTTAACAAATTGATATCTTACCTGTTCGGTATGTTTAGACAGTACAAACTGCTGGGTTCCTATGAAAATAGTTTCACCAAGACCTACTGCGGAAATTCCGAGTATGAATGCTGATGTAGAGCTGTGTGCAGCAGCTAAGAAGTTCCTGCTTTCTAGAGGCTTATGTGGATTTTCTGTGTAAACAAGCATTGTCCAAGATCATAAGCAGGATAAGGAATTGTGGTTTTCAAGGGTACAATCAGAGGTTCTTGAGTCCTTGCAGGGCAGCTGAAGCCTTGGAACTTAGATGAGTTTGCAAAGTCACCTGTGGTAGGATCGGATGATGGCCAACAAAATTAATGTTGAGTTATACCATCCTTTATTGCCTAGAGCAATATTCCAACTGTTATTGTTAATCATAGCTACTGCTTCAATTGTACACAAGTTGCATCTAACTTGACTCTTGCAACAAAACAGCATGGGAGTACAAACAAAAACTGTGCCAGCTCATTCACACAGTTAACTGACCCATTACTGCAAATCTAACTACTACTACTACCAGCACCTCCCCAGAGCAACACTGTGGAAGTTGTCATCCCATGCACCACCCAAGGGGTGATGGGGAGGAATCTGCACTCATAGTTGCCATCAGCTGTCACTCAGCTGGGGGTAATCTGACCAGTGTGGACCAGGGCCCATATGTGTAGCTTCTGAGAGAAAGACTGAAGGCAGGGTCATCTCTTCTGTTGTTGCAGTCAGCAACACCAGCATCTTCAAAAGAACTTCCCCAACACTGGCCTGCTGCAACTTGTGCATTGCACAGCTTGCTTAATCAGATATTTTTTGGCAGATCATGTCATTATGCTGCTAGTTTTGACTATGGACCTTACAGCTCAACTGTTAGTTTTGTTTCTCTGTAGTCATCTTAAAGCCACAGTTCAGACACTTGTGTCAGTTTAAGTGCCACAGGAAGGCTGTGCAAACACTGCCACGGATCTTAGACTTGCATATAAGACTAGTATCTTGCCCAATTACCAAGTGAGAAGCACTGGTACATATTTTGTATTACAACAGCAAGTGTGTTTTCAGCCTGTAGTGTAAGATGGAATGTGTATGCTACCCAGTGGCCTCTATGTGGGAAGTATGAAAGGATCGGTATCTTCACTGAGAAGTGTTTAGTGATCCATACATCAGAAGAAATCGAAAATGATTGCTGCAAATATCACTGTAAATGGCATGCAGATGAGAGTTTGAGAGCTATTGACAGTGTCTCACTGCAGAAGTCTTCCCACAATTTTCAAAGCTGATCTTAATGAAAGCAAGGCATCCAGTTTGGCCATTCCTTTTGAGGCCAATATTTGGTATACACTTGTGACAAATGTGAGAAAACTTGACGTTTGACATTGAATTAGTCTTTTGATAAATTGTAAACAGTGTCAAAGGCAGATGTGCCCTGGAGGCTTGCTGCTTGTAGTCATGGTTCTGGTATAGGTCCAGGATAGGTCTCAGGCTCTTCCATAAATAGATGGAATGTATGCTTGTATCACTGGATTCTTGTATCCAGCTGCTCTAGGTGGCATTATTTGGATGTTCTTTATGCTTCCAGCTAAGTTTTTCCTTGGTGTCTTTAGTCAGCTCTGCCTCTCTAGCCATAAGCAGATTTTCTCTGCAGCTGCAAAGAGTAAACTAATACTCCAGGAACATCGATAGCATGCATGTCATATGATACCACATCTTAGTGTGAGGACTAATTCTTCAGGTATCATTGTGAATCTCAGGTCTCTGTCTGGCTTCTTGACCTGTGCGTTCCTGTCAGCTCTCTACCAAAAACCTTCCTTTTTCTTTCGTGCCATCTCTGTCAGCTGAGGCACCATAAGATTCATTGAAAACATGAGGCTGGAAGGCATCTCGGTGGAGCATCTGGTCCAAGCTCTGGCTCTGCTTAGAGAAGTGCTGACTTTCTGAACAGCTTATTCAGGATGGGAATATCCACATCACAGACCAGAATCTGTATTGTCCTGTTCAAAAACTTGCATGCTTATGTCTCAAAGCAAAAATAAGTTGTAACTCACTGATAATATTTCTTACCTAGGATAGGGCAGCAACTCTACCTCCTCACTGCATTTTGAGATAAAAGAACTGGGCCTGTTCCAGTGAATGAGAGTGCTCTTCTATAAAACTGCATGTTGCTGTGATAGCTGTATTAAGAGTAATGCATGTGTTACTTTATAATTGAATGATCTGGCTGATGTGGTGTCTCAGTTTTTGTAGTCTGATGTGCTGATCGCATGCTGGGACTGAAGCAGTATCAAGAAAAATTACAGAAGGAGATAAAAGACTGTAGCTAGTTGAGTTAGATATATTAAAACTGTTTTAGCAAACAGCAGTACAAATGGAGGCAATTGCAAGCTTTACCCAATGAGAAGCTTTTTAGCCAGACAAGCCCTGTAAGTGACAGAAGGAATTACTTGTCTCTGGGTGAAACCTCCATGCCTACGCGCTTCTGGGCTGTGTGAGATTGTTAGGTGGCTAAAATGGGGTTTCATTTCTTTCTTCAGAGTGAATTTATGAGTATAAGTTATTCTTAAAGGTACAAAATTTACCTGTAACATTTCTGCCAACATAATAGAGAATCATATGAAGAGATAGCCAATTTTGCTTTAAATGTGAAAGTGTATTAAATCTGTAAATAGTGTTTATTTGTATGTTTGTAGTACTGCTGTCATCTGAAATGCGTTGACTGAATTACAATACTTTTACTGTTCTTCTCCAGCTTTTGAACTGCAACATTTAAAATCATAGATGTGTTACTCCTTTATTCATAGAATGGTGTGGGTTGGAAGGGACCTTACAGATCATCTAGTTCCAACCCCCCTGCCATGGGCAGGGACACCTTCCACTAGACCAGGTTGCTCAAAGCCCCATCCAACCTGGCCTTCAACACTTGCAATGATGGGGCATCCACAGCCTCTCTGGGCAACCTGTTCCAATGTCTCACAGGAAAGAATTTTTTCCTAATATCTGATCTAAATCTACCCTCTTTCAGTTTAAAGCTGTTGCCCCCTTGTCCTGTCACTACATGTCCTTGTAAAAAGTCCCTCTCTGGCTTTCTTGTAGGCCCCCTTTAGGTACAGGAAGGCTGCTATATGGTCTCCCTGGAGCCTTCTCTTCTGCAGGCTGAACAACCCCAACTCTCTCAGCCTGGCTTCATAGGAGAGGTGCTCCAGCCCTCTGACCATCTTCGTGGCCCTCCTCTGTACTCACTCCAACAGGTCCATGCCCTTATGCTGGGGGCCCAGAGGTGAATGCAGTACTCCAGGTGGGGTCTCACGAGAGCAGAGTAGAGAGGAAGAATCCCCTCCCTCGACCTGCTGGTCACACTTTTTTTGATGCAGCCCAGGATATGGTTGGCTTTCTGGGCTGCAAGCGCACATTGCTGGGTCATGTTGAGCTTCTTGTCAACCAACACCCCCAAGTCCTTCTCCTCGGGGCTGCTCTCAATCCACGTATCGCCCAGCCTGTATTTGTGTTTGGGATTGCCCTGACCCATGTGCGGGACCTTGCACTTGGCCTTGTTGAACTTCATGAGGTTTGCACGGGCCCACCTCTCAAGCCTGTCAGGGTCCCTCTGGATGGCATCCCTTCCCTCCAGCATGTTGACTGCACCACACAGCTTGGTGTCATCAACAAACTGGCTGAGGGTGCACTCAATCCCACTGTCCGTGTTGCCAACAAAGATGTTAAGCAGCGCTGGTCCCAATACCGACTTTACATACCTTACTGGTTTCCTTTCTCTTTTTAGGTGTCTTGGCTTTTTAATCCAACAAGAAGTGAAATAACAAGTCTAGATAGTGGAAATATAGATGACATTTTAAGTGAGTACTTTGAATATTATTTTTTTTCTTTGTATGTCTACAGTCACCTCTCTGTGTGAATCTTGCAATGTCATTAAAGGAATACACATACCCTAGCTTTGAATATATGAATTGCAATTGGCATAGAAGTATTAAATGCCTATGATTAGAATTAGCTGTCTGAACTAATGTATCACCTAACAAATTACTTCATTGTAATCTCAATGAGGGTTTGAACTGTCTTAAGAAAAATACCTGGTATCTTGTTTGCAGATGGGAATGTTTGATTATGTAACCAAAACCTGTCAAGAGAGCTTTTTAAAAGTTCCCCCAAAGAATAGCAGCAACTGAAACCCATGGTGATGGGCCTTAAGTATCTTGCTTGTTCAGCTATGCTTTCCCTCAGGTAAAGCATTGTCCTGATTCTGGTGACCCGTAGAAAGGAGACTCATACATTAAACAGATGTGTATTCTTTGTCTGAAACCTTTTGGTCTGAAAAGTATGCAACTTGCCTGTATCTGTTTGTCTTAACAGGAAAAGTTATTACATTGTTTCAAATATGTTGAGAAAAAAAAAATCTTTATACTCTTTTGTTTATATCTCTACTAGAATCTGCTTACTATTGCAAAATTGCTTTGTGTAGTAAGTGTATGATTAGGTAATACGAGATCTGTTTGTAAATACCTTCTATACAGTGGAAAAGATAAAATCCTTTTGTAAAATGTTATTCATAAAAGGGAATATATGCCAAGTGTAACTACTTTTAAAATTCATCCAATTACTTTCAATAAATACTTTATGCCTTGGAGGTAACCCTAAATTTCTCCATGCTTGTTAATTTCCTGTTCACCTCTTGCATTGCTTGCTGATAATGAAAATCTTAAAGCCATAATTTTAATCAAAACTGTAGTTTTTCCCAGCCTTGTCAAGAGTTGTCTTTTCCAGCATGTTTTCTTTTCCAGGCTTTCAACATCTTAATCTTTGCTTGTAACTGCTTTGTAACTTTGTGAATAGTGCAAATTTGTCTAGCAACATTTTTGCTTTATAAAGCTGTGACTGATACTCTATAGTTCCAGTATTTCTTTCACTTTTTTTTTTACAATGTCTGCACCACTACTACTACTAAAAATCAATTCACAGCATGGTTGTTAAATTGTGTAAAGACCACAATTTATTTTGGGGCAGGAGATTTATCCTACTAGTTTTGATATATTTTCCTTTTTTTTGGTATGTGAAAAATAATGTATAGGAGCATTATTTCACTACCTCATCATATATATCCCTATAGTATTGCATTTTTTTCAAGTGTCCCTTAGCATTTTTCTTTTTTGCGGCCTGAAGATTTCTCTGCTACCTTTTGCCTTAGTATCCAGCTTCTTAGGAAATAAGGCAGGTAAGGACCAACCAGAGCAAGTTGCACAGGGAGGCTGCATGTTAGTCATTCTTCTAACCCAAACAGTTGACATTTCAGCACTTAACTGTTTTTTAACACGAATAATCTAGATAATGCTTAAAAGAGTTGTACTAGAGAACAACTGGCTTTGAGTGCCTTAATTTTAAATCCAGAATTACTTTTTGTCTCACGTGTCACTTAATTACTTCTTTTGTGTCTTAATACCTTAAGTATTGACATTTTTAATGTCCAATATATCAATAAAGTCAATAAAATACTTGGCTGAAGGCCACTTTCATCACTTTCCCATTTGATATAGATTAAACTTCAGATAAGATTTATCCTATCAGTTTTCTAGCAATCAGACTAAGCTGTATGGTGAATAATCTAGAAGTATTTGCTTGTATAGTTTTTGTGCGTATTTTTATAATCTCAGGTAAAACCACTAAGAAGTTTGCCTCACAATGTGACATTGTGTTTTTTCTTTTTTTTTTCTTCTCAGACAATGCAGATGTTGCTTTAGTTAATTTTTATGCTGATTGGTAAGTTATACAAGTTTTTTTTCTATGTTTAAACTTCTGTCTTTTGAAAACTGTCATGTTTAGCTGTAGTTTTCTAATTGAAAATACAGTGGTATGTTGCTTTCAAACTAGTTCATTCCTCCTTTTTTTAGTGTCCTGATTACATCCCCTTCTGCTGTTCTGCCATCTTTTGTTTCATTCAAGGCTCCTATCAAGAGGAAGAAGGCTTTTACAGTAGTATGGAATAACATGCTATGTAATTTTTTTTTTTTTCCTCTTAGCAAGACAGATTTAATTAACTTTTTGCTCCTTAACATAGTCCAAAGTATTCCATTTTTCCGTTTTCTTCTCTGTTGGTCCCATGCGTGTGTGCTAGAAAGAAAAAGGCTTGAAATTACACTGAAAGCCAGTTTCTTCTCTAATCTGGAAGACCTTCTCTGTGGAGGACTAGAGAAATTATAATTGAGGGATGAAATTGGAGCAACTGGAAAAGGAAGGTATTTGGGGCCAGATTGGTTAGACATTGTGAAAGACATACTTGGAGGGAACTGTTTACTTTGGGTAAAAAAAAATTGCATACAAAATCATTGTTAGAATTCATTTAAGCACCATATCCCTCTTTTTATTGTGTAAGAAGTAATTTTAAGTGTTCTGTTCTGTTCCATCATTAATATTTTTAAAGAATCTTTAGCGAGGAAGAAACCAGAAAAGTATTCAGAGAAAACAAAATTTAACATGCAAATTAATATAGAAAATAAGGTTAGAAGAATAAATCATGTTCTGTCTCCCTTGATTAAAGTAATCTTGGACGTAAATAGCTTTATAATGTAAAGCAATATTTAAACCGAAGTACTACACTTTAAATATTCCTCTCCCTCCTGTTTTGCTTTGTGAGCATAAAACGTTGGCCTTCAGAATCAAAGGTCGTGTAGGTGATTAGACTGCTGATTCCTTTCACCTCTTTCACGTCCCACTCTACGTCTAAGTCTGTAGGTTTGTGTGGCCTAGAAATAGCAAGTGCACAGAGCTTTACGTGAAAAATTTACACTTTGTCTTTACTAAGAATTCATTCAACTAGTAGCAGGCTAATTTTAATTGTTTTTTTTAAAGTGATTTTGAAAAATTCATACCCAGTCTTTTCATACAGAATGAAGTTCTCAATAAATATGTTTTTAATGCCTTCATTTAAACTTTGCATAAAGATAGACATTATACCAATCTAAATCAGTTTAATAACCCTTGTATATACCTCTGTCATTTTATAGACAATTTTTATGTTCAATTAGTTTGCATCTGTTCATTTGCTTCCACAGACTAAATTGATACTAGGCTCATTTAAACCAATAGAATTTTTCTTTAGAAGGGCTGCATTTGTTTACCAAGCAAGCTATTTGTTTGAAATGTCTTTCTTTATAATGACAGTACAACTAAGTAGCTAAAGTACGAAACTAGGTCTAATCTCTTACCTTTTCTGTATAGAATTATGCTATAAAGGCTGTCTTTTAAAATAAGTAAACAAATGAAACTTTTACGATTGTGATTTTCAGTTTCTGATATGCACATACCTGGTGGATCATGAACTACTTCCAAAGGTTTTATTAAAGATAACCAAAGAAAGCAACCCTATGGGGAGTAAATTTAATACAGTGAAATTTGGGGGGGGGGTTGCCATTGAAAAATCATTTTTTGATTTCGCAAAAGACAAACTGCAGGAGGCTAAAAATCCATGTTCTGATACTTCTGTGATAAAGGGAAGATACCAATATTTTAAAACTTGATACAGCAAGGTAACAAGCGTCCTGTTTTAGGACCTTATTAGCACGGCTCTTTCTGCAAATCCCCACTGATATCAAATCCTCTGTAGAATAGGTTTGCTTTGAATTTAAAGATTTGCGTGTGCTTGCAAGTTGATTCACATTAGAGTAAGCCATAATTTTAAAAAATTACAGCCTTAATTATGATCATTGCATGTAGGCATTCTGTAATAACCCCCTCAACATAGCATACTGCCAGCCTATGATGTAATGTGACCTTTGAATGAGAACGGATCAGTTTCGCTGATGTGCATATTCTGCTCTAAGGGTGGAGAAGAATGAGGGACAAGGAAGCCACATGTAACATATACATGCTACATAATGTGTAGTGTACAGCTGTGCTGCCCAGATTCAGGTTTCTTTCAGAAAATGGCCTTCAGCCCTGTTTGTATTTTGAGAGCAAATCCTGCCTCTTGACTTGAATGTTTGCTGTTGTAGTCATAACAGCATCCCCAGGCTATCACTTGTTAAGTTTAAGCAGGGCTTCAGTGCAGGCTGTTTTATTGCAAGTCTGCTCCATGAGGTCTCATTCTGACAACTTCTACAGTGCCATTTTACGTATTCAATTTAAAATTCTGCCATGTGTTTAGAAGAACAGAATATAAAACAATTTTATTGACATATTAATAATGGGCTTGTGCACTAGTGTTATCCTAAACTCCCCAAAGCATCTTTGCAGTTCTATAGCCTTTTCCATGGGCAAAAAGAGAGGATTTGCTTCAAAATCTGACATGACTGGAAGAAGGGACCCATGGAATTCTCTTGGTTCGTAGTGCTGTAATAGCAGTCTGTTCAAATTCTACCAAACTTGAGCAATAATACAGTAAGCAATACTTATAACTTCTATTGTTGACCCTTATAAAGTTACTGCTGTGCTATTTCTTGAAGGTGATGGTGAATATTGGAATCTCAACAATCCAAGTAACTTCTTTTACTATATTTGTAAAATTACTTCCCTGGCAATATCTCAGGTAGAAAAAATAAAGAACAGACTTTCTGAATGGAATATATTTCCTAAAGGTTTATAATTGATTAATGGTGTTTCTTAAGCAGGTAAAGCAGGGGGCACATCTTGAACTATATATTCTTTTACAATTATTTTTTTCCTGCCTGAATTATTCAAATTACTTTTGAACCTATTGTTGTCCACTCAGTTAGTGGGATGATTACAAGTAGATGTGCTTTTCCAATAGCTTTTCTTTCTTTTTTTTTTCTTCCTTCAAAGATTGAAATATTCCCTAAGTCATCAATTAAAATATTTCTAATTAATATTTTGATGTTACAATTTTGTGTTCTATCCGCAGGTGCCGCTTCAGCCAAATGCTGCATCCTATTTTTGAGGAAGCTTCTAATGTAATTAAGGAAGAATATCCAGATAAGAATCAAGTGGTGTTTGCTAGAGTAGACTGTGATCAGCATTGTAAGTAAATCCTGCTTTAGGTTTTTCTGTGCTATCCTGACAATAAGTTACTAATTGTATGGAAAAATATGCTAGACAGCAATCTAAAGTGTAGCTGTATCTGCCCCATCATTTAGACCAGAGTTGCTTGTATATATCAGTGAACTTCTTCCAAATTTGTCAGGACAATCTCCAGTGTTGCTTTCTCATTGTATCCATAAACATTCATTTATATCAGTTCAGCCTATCTCACTTAATGGGGAAAAAAGGTCTGGGATTATAAATTGAATTTACTCACTGAGGTGTCAGAGAAGCACTAGTGCAACAAATGGTGCAGGTCTTCACAGCCAAGAAGAGGAAGGGGTAACCTTCCATTGTCAGTATCAAGAATATGTTCTGCTCAGGTCTTCCTTCCAATTAGGAGTCATGGTGGACTGTAAGTTGCCTTTCACACAGCCAGGAGGGTATCAGAGCTTTTCTGCTTTGCACTGAGGTTTTTGTTACAGTGCTTTTTATAGTATAGGATCGGCTGTATTGTTTTATGCTTCTGGAAGAACAGCATTTGCAGGCATAATTTCTTTACAGTGGCTTGTGATTCCCAAAGAGTATTAATAGCAGAAATTCAATTCTAATCAATACTGATTATACTATCTGGACTTTACAAAACTGTTAATTTCTAGGAAGGATCACAGTTAGAAATGTGAGGAATCACTGCACAGAGTTATTAGTTTGTATCTGCAGCATATCCCTGAGACTTACTGTTGACCTAATAGTTGTGTTTTAGTGCTCTGTTACAAAAAATCTAAAAAGAGAACCTTACAGGACAGGAAAAAAGGTCAATTGCATATCTATGAAAAGTAACTGATTTCATTTACATTTTTCTTTCCCATTTTGACAATCTAATTTTTTTGATATTAGAGAAGACTTTTTTTCTATAATGAGAATTCTTGGCTTGAAGTGTCTTTGGTTCTTAGTTGCAGATTTAGAAGTCTACTTGAGCCTCCTGCACTGGCACCATTTTGTGCTCTGTTTTGTATGCATGCCTGTAATTGCCCAACAATAAGAGCACCTGTCTTGTGATCTTGAAAGGGATTTCAAGCATAAAAAAAAACCCCAAAACATTTAAGGGAGCAAACAGTATCAATTCAATATCTGAAATGTAAAATAAGCTGAGTCTTCAAACTGTCAGGAGTGGCCAAGGAGATTCTGTTTTGTCCCTTCCCAAAGATCAGTAAAACCAATTCATGACCACAGGAAACTTAAATGCTTCTGGGATTAAATCTTTGAATCACTGGGATATGGGACCCTCTTTATAGCCTCAGCTGGAAAAGAGGCACAATAGTATTTACCCAGGCAGGGTATGTAAGCAGCTTTGAAGCATTCAGCTGCCTTCCTACGTTGTAGTGGTAGGGATGTGTTGGGGAACTGATATAAAAGTTTTAACTTAGGTGTTCTCGAACAGCAGTTACATTAGACACAGTAATAGAATCTCCTCCTCTGAGCAGATCTACTGCCTTGAATACAGTGTAGAACAGTGCACTTCTGTAACTGCCTGGAGCATTTACAGAGCAGCAGCAGAATGGAGAGGTGGGACTAAATGTGCTTCACAATATATGCTTTAGTTTCCTTGACTTAGAAGTCCAATAGTATTTTTTCTTTCTCATTATAATGATGTCTCTGTTAAGTGAATGTTTTCCTCCTTCCTTCCTGAACAGCCTTTTCTAGAATCATAGATTTTTGGGGGGTTGGTGGGGATTTTTTGGTTTGGGGGTTTGTTTGTTTGTGTTTTGGTAGGGGGTTTTTGGACCTGGAATACCTTCCCAGATCTCAAATACTTGACTACATTTTCAGCTTCTTTCTTTTTCACCCTTGGTGTTCTCTTCTGCTTCCAATCATCTGTCTGTATGGTGTGTGCTTGGGAGATCTTAACGAAAAGCATAGCATTAAGTAATTAAAATTTGCCATCCCTAAAAGTCAATTTTCAAGTAAGGTGATGAAATCCTCTGGAGGAGTATATTGAAGACAAAGCCTGATACGCAGTCTTTGCTGATGTTTTCTTATTGAGTTTTTTGTCTGTCTTTGTTCTGGGATCTACTGCAGGATCTACACAAATAAACTGCCCCTGATCTTTGCAATTGTAGAAAATAAATGCAGTTGTAGCAAGCATTCTGATTGGTTTTGTATCAGCTTATTAAATGAGTCGCTCTACATACTTGAAATTACTTTTGCATATATTTTTGTATATATTCTACTGCTTTTATCAGTGATAGTTTCTCAAATTAACTTGAGTCAGTTGAGGGGGAGGGGCGAATTAAGGATATTCATACTTTGAGTTTACTTAATTTTTATGGTTGTCCTTAATAAATAAGTCTTATCTCAGTGTTTAATAGTCTGGCTGGCTCATTTTTTCATTGAGTCAAGATATTGACAATGAAATTTTCTATAAGATTCTCACAAAAGACTGTAGTAAAATCAGCCTGTGTTGCTTAGTTTTATTGTTAAAGTTTACATTAACAGCTGAAGTCCTCATTTTGTTTGCTGCAGCTTTAGTTGCTTGAGTAACGCAGAGAGTCTTTGGGCTGCTGGATGTCAAGTGTTTAGCCATGAGATGTTCTTGTCTTAGCAGTTATGCGCCTAAGAAAACCCCCCTCCTGCCCCAAGTATTTGAAACACTTCAGAAGCTTGTTCCTTGATCTTCTCCTCATATATTCATTGAATTGAGCTCATCAAACCTTGTTATGGAGAGCTAAGGCCTGGGTGGAGAAAGAGATGCTACAGCAGAGATTGTTGTCTTCCTTCCCCTGGGAGTAGGTGTAGTGGGCTACGTAGTATGAGGCAGCCAAGAGTTTTGGTCTTTCTTTTTATTACTGGAATACCATGAGTTCTCTGTATTTACTCTTTGTGTCCTTCATTTAAGAAGTAGATGAGCATGATTTCTGCTGCAGAAGCTGTAAAATGTGAGAATTAAAAATAAAATCCTATAATGACAGACCAAGTCTTTTTCCCTAATTTGCATTGCCTTTTTGAATTAAAATAGCAAAGCTGTATATGTAATTCCTGGTTTCTAGTGTTTTTGCTGTGTTGTAAGCAATGGTACATTTCATGGCACACAGTTATTGGGTGTGTCCTAAAGTTTCAAGTATTTTAACTTTGATTTCAATGTATGTAATAGCAGCTCTTCAGTAAGAGGGTGAATGCTACTATATTATCCAGCTTGGGCCTGCTGTAGTATACTAAATGTTGGAGTCAAAATTGTTATTGTCTTTTTCGTCTCCTGTTACACCTTTGTATTTCTGTATGTGTTTCCATATGTTAGCAACGCTAAACAAACACTAGAAGGTTTATGCCTGCAAATTTCATAGCACTACTAGTTAACTGTTAGGATGATGTTGTAGAGATGGTGGATTATTTGCATTACAAATGCTCTGTTTCTTTTTGAAGCCAAGACTCTGTAGGGAATCCAAATAGCTGATTTCAGGCCACTCAAAAACAGCTTTCAGAGCGGTCAGCCAGGCATAGATACTTTCCATTTAATGCACTATTATTGAAGCACACTGCAGGGCCCAACAGCTCACACCAGCTTCTGAGGGTAAAGCAAATTAAAGAGAATTATTGATGCACTGCCAAATGTTTGATGCTTAATGACAAAACCATCATTCTGTCTGCTCTTATAGCCAATATAAAGATGTTTTTCTGGAAAGTGATAGGCCCCAATGTGACTAAATACAAAAACTGAATATTAACACTATATTAAGCCTCTGTATATGTTCTATTTTACACCAGTGTATAATATAGTGGAAGATAACGTCCACATTTCAGCTATAATTAAGTCATCAGGCTGTTTTTAAGCCGATATGGAACATACAGTAAAGGTAAATCTGATGAAGGAGGTAGATGAAGCAGGTATTCTTTCAGTTTCCAAGACCTCATCCTTCTATAAATTAGAAATATCTAAGTTCCACTACATTGTTTGCTGTTAAAATTTTCTGTAGTTTTGGTGTGTTTGATTTAGTAATTCACTTACCTTAAAAAATATGCACCTCTATTTTAAGTGTAATACCTAGTAAAAGTGACCTTCCATATAAAATAATAGAAGATCTTTCTGCATATGCATTATTAGGAAGGTTTTGTTTTGGTGGTTTGGGGTTTTATTGCTTGCTTGTGGGTTTTTTGTCTTTTTTTTATCCTTTGTGTTAAGCAGCAATGTTGGAAACTCACTTGGTACCATGAATTTCCTGTTTCTGTTCTCTGTGAGTGAATATTGCAATACAGAAGAACTCACATTTCTGGAGGAGAGTTTGTATTTTGAACAGTTTCTCTGAATTCAGTGTTGGGAGTCATGGTACAGAATTCTTAAAAATTCAAGTATATAGTGGGGGTTTAATTCTACTGCACCATTATTTTCTTTGGTTTCCAAGTTAAAAAATAAAAAATAATAGCTGGTTTCAGTAAATCTTTGTGCTTCCAAACAGAAAACAACTTCTCACTGCTGGGTTGTTGAGAGGTGTTTTGCTAGACAGACTGTTCAGGGAACTATTCTTCATTCTTTCAAAACACCCGTGAGCGGTACTCTCATTCACTACTGCAGGCTGCTGATCTCTCTGGGTCTGGCCATTCCTGTAATGTGTGCTAATGTTAGTCTTCAGAGAGTTACTTAGATTGTATTGCTACTGTGCCTTTGGTAAGCAAAATAAGTCAGTATAATAACAAATTTGGAGGTTCATAAATGAACTATAAATGAAACTGTAAACAAGCATGAGGATTTCATTGCATTCCTGCCACTTTGCCTGGAAAAAAAAATCGGTCTGAAAGAGTTATCTTTGGATAAAATAAAAAGTGGAAGTGATTCGGAGAGGCTGTTGATGGCTCTCCTCAGGAGAGCCATTTTGTTAGCCTGTCAGAAAAGGTTATGGGATGCCTACTGATGAGGCCCTGCTAAGAGCAGGCATGGCTGTTGTGAATGCTCCTTTGCAGCAGAAGGTGGTCTAGATTTGCTGTTACCCAGCCTCTTAGTAGCCAAG